TGTTTAAAACGTTTATTATGCTAAATACTAACTGCAGGAACAAGGTTACTCATTCACAATTCTCTGGATAAATCAACATTAGAATAATGGTAATAACAAATTTATGTGCATAAACACCTGTTAGCAATCAGGTGGGAATTTAGAGAGGAGAGATATTCTCTCTATTATGTAGAGCCCTGACAGACGGGACAAAAATGTGGGTCTCCATTCTCCCTCTTCAGCAAACTCTGTCTCTTCCTCAAGGCAAGAGCTGCACTGCCCAAACACACTCAGCAATTCACTACATCAAGGACAACTTTCAAAGAGACATCTCTATAGCCAAGGACAAAACCCAAACATGCATTAAGAACCACAGAGTGAGACTAATGAAACCAAATGCTCTTACACAACATTTCAAATCAAAGAGCAAACACAACCTTCAAGGGAGTTATGACAGTGGAACAACCCAGCTGATCAACCAACCCTTGTAAAAAAGAACACTTTAGCATACTTTTAAAAAGAGTAATCATTACAGAAATAATATATAATATATGCTCTTAGAGTGCTTTTTGACCCAGTTAAGTAGGACTTAAGTACATTTTTATGTCATTTCATAATTAGTTATTTTGTCTTTGAAATGGTTGTCTACTGCAGAATATATAATTTAAATAATAAAGTAATATCGAATCACACTACAGTTTATATCAAATCACACTAAAAAATTATAATCAAGTACTTTACATGTGTTTAATATGTTAGTCAACATATTAAAATAAGTGTAAAGCATTACAAAAGATTATTAGAACATCATGAATGTACTTTAAAATAAAACATTTAATTTGACATTACAAAGTGCACTTTTTAAATGTGCACTTAAGTGACATGCCCATGCGCATACTCATGCTCTTAGTCATGAACGTGTACTCTCTTTAAAAGTTATGCTTTTTCGAATATTATCTTTCATGCAGTGTGTAATATAGCTGTCAGTAAACGTAAACGTTCTGCAAAGTTGTAAAGTCGAAAGTGCACGATAAATATGTTATTGTCTACCAAAAGAAAGAACTGACTCTGAACCACTTCGTCAGGAATTCATGCATATGTAACACGGTAGCACATTTGCATAATGCCAGCCTATGGTCTTCATTGGCTGCCTGTAAACAAGTCTACTTTGATCTGCCCTCAAACACTGTGGGCCCTATCATACACTAGGCGTGACGCAAGTGTTTTTTGTTAGTTTCAGCCTGACGCAGTTATCATTTTCACGTCCTGCACCACGTTGTTTAAATAGCAAATGCATTTGCGCCCATCTGTTTGCCTATGGGCATGCGGGTCTGAAAACGAGGTGTGTTCAGGGCAGGCGCATTGTTGGCGCGTTACTATTTTTAGGCAACTGAAATAGACTGCACCATTGACCAACAAAAACCTGGTCTAAAATCAATGGCGCCGTATTTTTTCGTGTGGATTCGGACACGCCCTAAGTGCACTTGCGCCGTGCGCTTTAGACCATGCGCTTAGATCGCTAAAATAGGGCCCTGTAGCTGGTTCGTGTTATGTACATGTCAAGAAGTCACTGTTTTCTGCTCTGCAAAAGCCAATTCTCTTTGTAAACACTTCCAAAGGATTAGGATGTGAAGAGTCAGTGGTTAAAAATACCACAGCGATACAACAGCCGTTCAAACTTTTGTCGAATGCATCTTAAATCTCAGAGAGGTATAAATGGGATTTACAAAACACTTATCCATTAAAGATGGGACAGTACCCACTTTATTTGGACCAACTTGCTCCTCAGAATCACAACCTATAAGTATGATTAATTATTGATGTATATATTTTGTACCGGGTGTTCAAAATACGTCGTTTTGTGTTTAATATTGTGTAGGTTATTACTGTCTTTGCTAATCAGCTGTGGGCCACTAATGCCTAAAACTGTGTCCAATAATGCAGATTGTCTGTTTTTCTTACTACTTTGAGTAATGATAAAGGATGAAGTAAGATTTGTTTTTACAGAATTGAATGTTAAATCAGTCTTTCACGTTAGTGCTCGGATAAGGTATGCTCTGTTATTGATAAAGTTAATGATTCAGTTCCCAAATGTGTACCGCAAAAAAAAATTAGATATACACATTCATTTTTTGATGGACATACTCTTGTTAATACTGATGGTGAGGAATTACAGTTGCAACATTGAATAATGTAATACTGGGTAGTGTATCACTGAGAAACGTCCTGCTCAAGTCGTCCTTGCGATGGAGGTTCCGGTTAAATAACTAGTTCTTCCAATGCTTCATCATCGGACTCGCGATTGGATTGATATGGTAAGATCGACGTCATCGTTACTGTCTTTACAGTGTGTACAATCGCTGAGAGCTGAGAAAGCCTCAGGAGCTGAAGTTCAGTTATGGTAATGGCTGTTTCGTTTCCGACACGCGCTGTATCCAATGTAGACCAATCACAACAGACTGGGACCGATCAGAGCAGAGTAGGCTCGTGGAAAGGAGGGATTTAGAGAGACTGAGTCATCCGTCGAGACGTTTGAGAATCATTGAAAAATGTGGTGATGTGCGATGTATATTATGGGAAAATGAAAGTGTTTTTTGACCTTTAATGCATGTAAACCTATTGTAGGAGACCTTCAAAAACAAAATTAGAAACCTTTAAAATAGCATAATAGGGGTACTTTAAGTACTTAAGTGGCCTTTTATTTCATAAATATTATATTATCTGGAAGTACTGTTTTTTTTTTTTTTTACTTTTAAGATTTTAAGTACACTACAAGTGCACATTCAATACAAAAGCGCACTTCTTTTCCACAAGGGAAAATTGTCAGTTGTGATACAAAGTATACAGTTAGTATGCACAAAGTAAACTATAAAGCACTCTCAGAAAGTATTTATTTGCAAGGTAGTTCTGTTAATGAGGGCAATTCTCTGATAAAGTGGACACCAGATCACCTGCTGGGAAGTTTAAACTCACAATTCCATGATGTTGGTATTGAGAGTAAAGTCTGCCACCAGAACAGTTAAACATATCTTTGCTTAGGAGTAATGAGCTTTATAATGCTACCAAATGATGAGATTAGAGATTACAGCCTCATAATCAGGTCAGCGTGTTCATCTGAGGAGAAGGACACCCATCCGCCCTCCGGAGCTCAGAATGAAGGCACACACATGCAGGTGTACATATGCACACAGAGTATATGAAGTCTATACACAATATAAATAAACCTGTCCTGCATGAGCAAAGAGTGATTGAAGACACGTAATGGTGTCCAAAGGTCTGAGAGCACTTTTGAACCCTGCTGTATTTATCCTTCATTTCCACAGAAGATGATTAGTTTTCCACTAATTCCTTCGCATAAAAGCCTCAGGAAGTGTTTTGGGATTTTTTTGTGTTTTGGAAAGAAATAGGGAAAAAAAGAAAGCAAAGGGCTGCTGAGTTTTTATTCATCTGGCACTCAAGGCTCATTTCATAGATCAGTGATATTCATATTTCCCACACAGTCATCTGACTGAGAGAAGAGGGATTAATGCTGTGTTTCAGAACAGCGGGTAATGAGACAGACGAAGATAAAGCGGAAAGGAATAGCTGAGAAATTTTTGGACAAAGTCCAAAAACATTTTGTCCGGTACACTGGTTTCTGCTTTCATCTGTCATGCCGTCAAGTTTTCCTTTGCTTTCAGAAAATTACAAAAAAGAACTCATTTTGAGCAATGTAAAATATTTATACGATTTTGTTCAATATCTTTTTAAATCAAGAAAAATTATCAAGAAAAATGTACCGGTAAGTGATGCATGTCATCCTAAGAAGTATAAACAGAACATCAGACATTTATAAATCAGGGAAACCACAGCTGATCTACAATAGAGTCTCATATTTGCTCTATTGAAACTTAAGATAATGTTTGTGTAGTTCATGCATGTTTGCATGGCATTTTTATTTCTTGATGTTTTAGGTTTAAATTTAAAATACTATATAAATACTTTCATATAAATGTGTATGGGTAAGTATATTTCAGTCATGACAACCCTCAGTTTTAGCATGTTAATGGTTATGACAATGTTAACTTATTGATCTTGGTGGACTAGCTAGATCTGATATCCATGCTTCTGCTGCTTTGATTGCTGCTTCTACTGCAGAGTAAGTACAGAGACTTGCTCCTGTCAATATACATACACAGATATTCAGAAGCTGTACAAATATACGTGCATAAAATTTCCCATATATAGCAGATCTACAGTATACAGGTGGTGCTGGGGGAGGTGGAAGTTATCAGATAAACTCTGACAGCATGATGATGGACCGGCTTACAGAAAACTCTGAACCAGTCTATTTAAATGTTGAGCAAGCAAGCTGATTGGCTGCAGATATAGCTGAGAGCAATCAGCTGAACAACTTGTGCCATATAGTAAATTGTGTGATTTCTAGCAATTACATGCCAAGGTGGAATCAGTCTCCGCCATCTAGAGTTTCCTGACTGAACTGGTCTTATTTTACTTTTGAAGATTTATTCTATATTTTTTCCTAAAGAACATAGTATGCAGGCTTTCAAATTTTTTTACGATGAAAGAATAAGAAAACATCATCTAAAAATAATTTTAGATTATGTATTTCATATCACACCACAGGATGTCAATTTCCAAAAAGTATTTCATGCCAACTACCTATTTGCAGAATCAGCAGGGCAAATATTAAACCTAGAAAATCAACAGTGAGAATCTTCATTTATATCATACAAACTAATACAAAACAACTGGAAGTCTGTCTTCTTCATCCTCAGTTCATTTGATAGTGTTTTTTTTTTTTTGGCGTTGTATCATCCATCAGGTAAAAATCATTCTCTGATAGCTTAGAAAAGTAATAGAACACCTCTTCTCACAATGCCAAATGATTTGAGGTTTCTTATCCATTCAAAAGTGCAGGATGAGTTTAATAGTACATACCAAAGTGATACTTAATATAAATGTAACCTAAATGTTACATAAACGTAACTCATTAACTGTCAAATCATGCACAAACTCACCTGTCTGCTGTCATGTTTGGAGGAGGAACTGCTATTGCTGTGAGATGGAGAGGAGATCTTCTGGGACATGGTGGAACTTTTCTCCTCTGAACTCATCTCCTGCTCTCAGTGAAAAGGAGAACGTAAAAAGAAGAGGAAGAGGAGGAACTGGAAGAGAGGAAAAGAGGGAGGGAGAACCGATAGCTCAGCAGTTGTGGGTCTCCATTTGCTTGTTCTTCCAAAGCTTTGAGCCTGTGGACAGATGAAGAGAGAAAGAAAGGGTCGATCAGAAGATGTATGTGAAAGGCAACCTCAACACGATGTCTGGCTTTCATCTGTGCAGGTAATGAACAGCACTCACCCACCACAGGATATCAAATAGCAGAATTATCTGAAAGCATAAAGGCTTGGTCAGCACAATCTGAGGGTTGTGTTGAGGAAAGATGCCAGCGTGAATCACTGGACATACTATAGATGTCATCCACAGATCATCTCCTACTCACTCAGCTTCTTTGAATTATGATTACAGAGTTATGAAATTAAGTGTGGGAGCTACACTGAACACACACTGACTCTATGAATCTGTGCTTCATTTATAGCAGAAACAGACGTCAGTGATCGCTGCTCTGTTGTAACCGTCCTTCCTTCCCTGTCTCATCTCGTCCATGCTGCTCTGTCTTCCTCTCAGTCAGTGTGGTTCTCACATGAATGGAGAACAAAATGCAAATGTCCACTTGCTTTGTGTCTGGGTTTGTTTGAAGTCATGTGTCACGACAACACCATATGCATACTCATGTTACAGCACCTGTACCTAGTGTCAAATAATAGCGCAGGTTACAGGGTGTGGTGTATAAGTCAAACACACACACACACACACACACACACACACACACACACACGCACACACACACACACACATACATATTACGTCACAAATTCACAAAACTGTCACATTAAGTTTAAATACACCTGTGGGTTCTATTTAATATAAATTTGACATTATGTATGCTATTGCTATTATAAAATATTATCATCACATATGCTAATAAAAATAATGTTTTAACTTTTAAGCCTATTAAAACTAATGTTAGAAAAAAAATTGTGCTTGTTTATTTGATTATTCACAAACCTATAGACCAATATATCACCAAGGCTGAGATGTTAGCTGATACTTGTTATTTTGTAAATTGTCAATAATAAGTGTCGGAAGCATACTTTAATTCTGACAGCGCATGAGAATGCAGGTAGTGTAGCACCTGAGCTGAGACACAACGTAGTTTTACTACAGCCACAATGTTACAGAAGACCGAACCTAACAAGAAATGGATCTTCCTGTGGCCAGATTGCTCTGTTTAGAGCAGAAAGATGAAGCCACACAAGGGACTTTTTAGACCTGGCTTGCCTTACCACCTTCCCCTACCGCTCCCTGAGTGTTTATTTCCTGACCAGCTTAAATTATCAGTATAAGGCACGCCCTGCCCGTAATGCTCCTTGAGGGACATTTGCTGCTTTTGTGGAGTGGGTGCTGGCTAACAACAACTCCCCCATGACCGTCTGCCTCTCGGGTGAGGCCAACGCCAATCCAACTCCAGAGACCAGCCAGCCACCAACAACACCCAACAAGGACATTATAACTGAGCCCACAGCAGGCACAGAGAGAGTGCTTGAAATGACACCTGAGCAATACCTCGCCCTGGAGCCTGAGCCCAACAGTATGTCTGACCAGGTGCGTGAGCCGGCAACATTATCAGTACCTGTAGGTGTCATCGTGGAGTTCGAGGGAATGGAATGGAGCCCTGCCCATACTCCCATTGCTGAGGGTGAGCTTGTCAAGGTTTCTGTGTTATTGTTTGAGGAAGAGGGTTTTCCTCGTAGTTTCTTGTCCTCGCTGGTCCCGCCCAACTCCCAAGTCTCCTGCGTCTCCGCTGATCCCAGCCAGCTCCAAGTCTCCTGCATCTCTGCTGGCCCTGCCCAGCTCCAAGTCTCCTTCGTTGATGATAATACAACCCAGCCTCTCCTTCCTCGGCATCTCCTCTGTTTACTCCACTCTGCTGCGCGGATCTGCCTCGGGTCTTTTGGTCAACAGCTCCGCCAGCATCCTCCTCCTCGAGCTGCCGAGCCCGTCATTCCACCTCGGCCAAACAACTGTCAGCAACACCCCCCCCCCTACACCTACCTCCCCCTCCCCCTCCCCTTCCCCTTAGCTCCACCTTGGACTGTCATCCTCACGGCTCCACCGGGCTCCCTCGTCCGTCCAACCCCGCCTTGGTCAGTCGTTCCTCTGCCTGCACGACAGACTTCCGGCCCTTTGGCTATGCCTCGTCTCTCCACCCCTTCGGCTCCGTCGGGCTTTGGGTTCCCACCTGGCTCCTCCTGTCTTCGTCTACTCCCTGGCTCCTCCAGCCATCATCGCCGCCCTGGTTTCTTCTTCCATTATCTCCTCCAGGGCTTCTTCTTCGTCCTGGGTTCGTCCTGGGCTAACCCCGGTATATGATTAGAATTTATTAGTAATAGAATAGCAAGCTCTATAAAATCTCACATATAGGGCTACTGTCGGCATTAAGTAAATACGCATCTATATTATATTATAAAACAGAAAGTTCTAGTCCTTGATTCTGATTGGTTGGGCCACGTTCGAAGCCGTTGTAAATGACTCAACAAACATACACCTGTGCCCACATTACATTAGTATTACTGTGCAACTGCCGTTTGTGATTCTTTGTTGCTGCATGTGTTGCTTGGCAACCTCTTTGGAACTACATTGCTTGGCGGAGGAATAAATGTGTTCTAACATTATATTTTTTGTTGCTGGTGTTTATTTTATAAATAAAATACATATTAAAATGAATATTTTTATGGAGTAACCGTTTTATAAAAGCAATAAGCCCCTTGAAGCCGTGTTTTACAATAGAACAGCTAAGGGGCGTTGTTATGCACGACGCGGAGCTTATTGCTTTATATACTGTATGTTTATCCACGAATTGTTTATGGTTTGTGGTAGTGAGTCTACTACCACGAGTCTAAAATGCACGTGCAAGGCATGTGCATTTTATATTGGCTGAGATTAGTTTTACTTTTCCAGCAGATATCTAGTATGTATTTTGATGGCATTTTGAAAAGCATATTCTCTCTCTCTCTCTCTCTCTCTCTCACTTTTTTCATTATGAGCAGCGGCACAGGTCACAATGTGGGACAGAGGATTGCAGCAAGGTTAATTAGATTAGTTCTGCACTCCGCAATCAAACACCCTTTCATTTCCATCAGCCTGTGGAAGTCAATAGAAACACACATACTTTCTTGCAAATCTCTCTCTCACACTCTCTATCGCTCTTTCGGCCGTTTACTCCTTTTAGTAAAATTATACTTTCTCTTCTCTTGGAGCAGGATATGACAGGAAATTGTGTAAATGAGGATGTCGACTCTTAAGCTAATAATCATCATCGTGTCTGCTGCACATCAACAATCTAAGGTTTAATCACTTCCTGTGAGGATGGAGAAATCTGCGTTTTTTATAATGCAGCAGTGTGGTGACGTGATTTTTAACTGACAAGCTATGAATTGGATGACTGAAAATCTTCAGACTAGAAAACATGCTGAGAGAGTGATCTGCATTAATCACATCCAGTCATAAAAACATATCTTAACACCCATTAAAGTGGATAGCCGAAACGGGTTGCCATTTCCACTTGATATTAACATGCATTCAAAAGGGTCCCCTGTGACACTCGTGAATTTCATCAATGGCATTTTTGTCAATGTGTCACTACTGTACATGTTGAAAAAAAACGCAGAAATAGTATGTAATCACATAATGCTGTTGAATTCAATCTGCTTAAATTTTTCTTTCACCACAAATGTTGAAATTAATTTTTGATTTAAATCATTGTCATTTCAGTTGAATACCTGTCAGTAATCAGATCACAAAATCATATATACACCTGCATTTACACAGATGGAGTGTGTTAAGCACCTCACTGATAATGACTAATAGTAATTTCAGTTATCATTTACACTTTACACTTTTACTGGGTGCTGTTGCGACCTTTAAAACACTAAGAAAGAATTGTTGTCTATTTGTTTCTAGATGCAACTTCAGGTTAAGTAACAGCTGGATATTCTAATTCAACTTTCTCCTTTTGTGTGTTTCTTTTTATCTCAGATTGTTCGATAGTTTGAATTGACCGCAACTTCCTAAACCTCTTACCGAGCAATCGAGGATACAAATACGGCTAATTACGGTCTCAGCATGTGCTCGCTTTAAGTAGCTGTGGCGACTGGTTTGTTCCGGTAAACAGACTCCTGGTTGTGGGTAAACGGCACTCTCCACCGCCGCCTGTCTCACCTCACCCCACGCCACTTCAGAAGCCAACAGAGAGCAGCTGCCTCCGTGTGCCGCCCCTATTATTTATTCATTCACTTTCCACTGATCACACTCAACACACACAAATACTTTACATGCGGCCATACAAGTAGAAGCACACACATAAGTAGCTGACATGAAATGATCAGTATGAAATGAATACGTGTGGGAATTTATATTATGCATTGTAATATGATATACTCCACCTAAAACAATTTAAACTGCTTTTTTTTATTCTTTAATCATTATGCATGAAGCTTTAATAACCTAATTTTATTTGGAATATTTGCACATAAAATGTTTTTAACTATTTTAAAGACAAAAGGTTGATTGAAATAGAAAAAAAAAGTTAATTTTTTTTCTTTAAAATTAATATTTCAATATAAGTAGCCCATCATCATCATGACGATTGCAGAGTATATGTAAATGTTTCCAAAAATGCATCTGTAAACGCCTCCAATTACTACATAATCTTGGCCGACCATCAGAACCGACCGATGCTCTGGACGCGATTTTTTCTCAGAATGACAGAGAGGTAAATCGGTCATAAATTGACCTGAAACTCCTGTAGTTTGAGCCTGGCTTAAGGCTTAAACTAGCCTATTTTTACAGCTCAGACAAACTGCACAACATTAATCGTCTTTTATATTGGAATCTAATATTCATCTTAGCTTGACTTGACTTTGGTCAATGATTGATACCGCTGACTGCCGTCCGTTCCGACATTTTACACACATTTGAAACGTACAGCACAAACCCAAACACACTGTAAACCCCAATGTTATCATTAATAAAGAAATCAAGTTATCATAACTTAACATTACTTACAATAGCAAGTTTTTGCATCAAGAATGAAACAGTTGTGTTTAATGTACTCATTTGGCAGCAACAG